CCATTCTCCTGCCTTAGCCTCCCGAGTAGCTGGGACTACAGGCGCCTGCCACCTTGCCAGGCTAGTTTTTTTGTATTTTTTTTTAGTAGAGACGGGGTATCACCATGTTAGCCAGGATGGTCTCGATCTCCTGACCTTATGATCCGCGCGTCTCGGCCTCCCAAAGTGCTGGGATTACAGGCTTGAGCCACCGCGCCCGGACTTTTTTTTTTTTTTTTTGAGATGGAGTTTCGCTCTGTCGCCCAGGCTGGAGTGTAGTGGCGCGATCTCAGCTCACTTCAAGGACCACCTCCCGGGTTCACACCATTCTCCTGCCTCAGCCTCCTGAGTAGCTGGGACTACAGGTGCCCACCACCACACCCGGCTAATTTTTTATATTTTTAGTAGAAACGGGGTTTCACCATGTTAGCCAGGATGATCTCGATCTCTTGACCTCGTAATCCACCTGCCTCAGCCTCCCAAAGTGCTGGCATTACAGGGGTGAGCCACCATACCTGGCTAAACCACTTTTGTTAAAACAACTTGGTCAGGGCATAACTAGCATAGGGCCTGGCATAAATTAGGTCTTCAGTAAAGGTTTGCTGAACTTAAGTGCATCATATGCTCCCAGGCCTCTTCAGATGCCATATCTTTTAGTCTGTTTTTAGTAATTCAAAGACAACATTATGACCTTTCATTATTCATCTGTGGGCTAATACAGTTCTGTGGTTGTTTTCTTGTCTGTTCTTTGTCAGGCTGTCTCCAATATCCAGACTTCCTCCTGCCTTTGTAATTTGCTGCTTTTATTTTATAGAATAAAACAAACCACAGGTACTTTGAAAAGAACATCTCTTAGCACCTCTATGGTCTCAGTGACAATCATGTATCCAAAGAAAAGCCAAGCTTAGTATGGATGTTATATTAAATAAGATTCCAAGTGAGATGTAAAGTCTATAGTTTTTTTGTTTTTTTGCAGGGGGAGGGGTGCTTTTTGTGTTGGCAAATTCAGCCAGCATGAGGTTTTCTGTTTCTTTTTTGTTTTTTTGCCTTAAATCTGGATTCTAAGTTATGTTCTGGGGCTTGAAATTACCAGAAGCCTGACTGGATTTTGGGAAGTTGGGGAGGGAGTTCTAGTTCATAGGTGATATACAGTCTTTACTCTTCAGATATCTTCACTCACAAATGAAGGTAGTAGTGACAGAGAGAATGAAAACAGACACCTTTTTGCCTCCTTTAAACTTTGTTTTGGTCACATGTTCAAGTGATATATATGCTACATTCTGTTTTGATTTGGGTCAATATGGTATAAGGAGAACATTAGAAGATTTGATTCTGCTGTTGCTACTCACCAGGTGATTGGACAAATCTTTCTTTAAGTCTTCTGAGTCAACTTTCTCTTTTATAATAGGGGGATAATTATTCTGTCCACCTTACAAGGTTATGACAGAATGAGAATAAGGTTAATGGTGTGAAATCCTTTAAAACATCGAAATGCTACGTAATGTGTGTTCTGTTTACTATTGGTATTTAAACTGTACCTGGAAAAAGACTGTTTTTTTACTGAGTATAGTACTATTACCAGTCTTAATGTGACTTTTTTCCTGAGCAGCTTGTTCTATATATTCGTGTAGGCAAAAACAGCTGGAAGACATCCTGGTTCTGGCCAAACAGTTCCATGAGACAGCTGAGCCTATTTCGGACTTCTTATCTGTCACAGAGAAAAAGCTTGCTAACTCAGAACCTGTTGGCACTCAGACTGCCAAAATACAGCAGCAGATCATTCGGCACAAGGTAGGGAATGGTTACAGTAAATGAAAACAGAAAACTGGATTTAGAAATCCTAGAAATGAGTAAACTGCCTGCAGCGTTCTATAGGATGTGTGTTTTGTGGGTTTAACTTAAAATATGATCAGATTATTAATTGGAAAAGTCACATTCTTGAAATACAAATAGAAATTGATAAGCTACCATTGGAATAAACAGCTTTTGTTCCCAATTTTTGTATTATTTTTGCCCTTCAGTCGGTGAATTTTTTAATTGTTTAATTTGTTGTATCATTTGTTAATTCATTTTGTGTTTACTTTTCATTTATTTTGTTTCTGTTATTCATTTTTTCCATCTGGATTTCCAGGCTCTGGAAGAAGACATAGAAAACCATGCAACAGATGTGCACCAGGCAGTCAAAATTGGGCAGTCCCTCTCCTCCCTGACATCTCCTGCAGAACAGGGTGTGCTGTCAGAAAAGATAGACTCATTGCAGGCCCGATACAGTGAAATTCAAGACCGCTGTTGTCGGAAGGCAGCCCTGCTTGAACAAGCTCTGTCTAATGCTAGGCTGTTTGGGGAGGATGAGGTGGAGGTGCTCAACTGGCTGGCTGAGGTTGAGGACAAGCTCAGTTCAGTATTCGTAAAGGATTTCAAACAGGATGTCCTGCACAAACAGCATGCGGACCACCTGGTATTCATGTTTCCATTTTTATTGGTTATGTTATTTTGTTATTTTGTTATTTTGATTCATGTTTCTCTTCATTTATTTATTTTTTTTCTTCATTACACACACTTCAACTTTATTTTATACACAAGTACCTAGTTTGTGGACTTGTTGACTGCCTATCTGTTTTTGAATGAGTCCATGGAAATACTTATATTTAACAAGTTGAATCAGTAATTCTAGAAGATAGTACAGGGTGTAGTCAGTCAGGGACCATCTGAACTCCAACTCATGATTTACGTTATTAGCTGATGGGTCACTAAGATTCTATTTGAGCAGTTTTATGAAAGATAATGTACTTTAACAAAACCAGATCTATATATGTAGTGCCCAGGATTTGATATTAGATCAAGTTAGAACTTTTAGGATATTTCTGGATTTGCTCAAATTCCAAGGATTCTGTGTCATCTTAATAGAAGAGTTTGCCTTTTTCATTTCATTTTTATGAAATCTGTTTGGAAGCAGTAAAAATAGGTAATTTTTCTTATAGTCTGATTCTTTTGCTTCATTAACTTTAAACATGAAGAGAGTTTTTAACCAGGATTCTGTTTTAAGTCAGTTTGTTCTTACTGAATTTCTTCTCTTGAACTTTCTGTTTATTCCTTACTTTGGACACAGTAGACAATTTTGCTGAATTTCACTTCTACCTTTCTTGGGTTCAGGTTTGGTACCAATAGATTGGTAAAGCTGATGTAATTCTAAGTTTTTCTCATCCAGTACTTAGGAAAGCTTGCCTATAGGTATCTGATTTAATTATTTTAAATAGTCAGTGGGCTCACCAAAGAGAAAATGAGGGGATCAAATATCTGATGTTTAAATTAAACTAGTATTCATCTCTTTACTTTAAATTTGGTCTCTTAAGGGTCTCACATTTTGTTTCCTTTGTAGTGCCACAGTTTTGGCATTAATGGTATTCTTTCCTTTCAGGCTTTAAATGAAGAAATTGTTAATAGAAAGAAGAATGTAGACCAAGCTATTAAAAATGGTCAGGCTCTTCTAAAACAAACCACAGGTACTTTGAAAAGTGCGTCTCTTAGCACCCCTATGGTCTCAAAGACGATCATGTACCCAAGGAAAGGAGTTCCCTGCCTTAGCCTCTTCTCTATGTATATATGAGAAGCTTAGTATTCACTGATTGTATTCCCTGCTGTGCTCCAGAAGGTTATTTCCTGCTAAATCTTTTGAAAACTAAAACGTCGTCTCACATCTGGTTATAGATGATGATTTCGCCTCTCCTTCAACAGAGGAGCCAGCATCCACTGAAAGGTGCTGGGAACATCTAGAAACATTTGAAGCTGAACTCAGATTTTAATAATTCAGAAATGGCTTCTTTTATCCAGTAGAAAGTTTATTTTATTTCCCATTTGCCCTTAGTATGGGATGGGTGAAATCATTACCACAGAGAGAGAGAGCGTCTATGAAATTAAAGCTCTGGCCAGGCGCGGAGGCTCAAGCCTGTAATCCCAGCACTTTGGGAGGCCAAGACGGGTGGATCACGAGGTCAGGAGATTGAGACCATCCTGGCTAACACGGTGAAACCCCGTCTCTACTAAAAAAAATACAAAAAACTAGCCGGGCGAGGTGGCGGGCGCCCGTAGTCCCAGCTACTTGGGAGGCTGAGGCAGGAGAATGGCATAAACCCGGGAGGCGGAGCTTGCAGTGAGCTGAGATCCGGCCACTGCACTCCAGCCTGGGCGACACAGCGAGACTCCGTCTCAAAAAAAAAAAAAAAAAAGAAATTAAAGCTCTGATTTGAAGAAAGGGGATCAGAGAATCCTCATTCCTAGATCTCTTAAATATGAATAATTGTGTGCTATCTTCCATAGGTGAGGAGGTGTTACTTATCCAGGAAAAACTAGATGGAATAAAGACTCGTTACACAGACATCACAGTTACTAGCTCCAAGGCCCTCAGAACTTTAGAGCAAGCCCGGCAACTGGCCACCAAGTTCCAGTCTACTTACGAGGAACTGACCGGGTGGCTGAAGGAGGTGGAGGAGGAGCTGGCAGCCAGTGGAGGACAGTCTCCCACAGGGGAGCAGATACCCCAGTTTCAGCAAAGACAGAAGGTGAGCTGTTATTTTACCGTAAAAGGAAAAAAAGCCTTCCTCTTTATCAGAATCCTTAAGTTTTATCAACCTTGACCTTAAATATAAACTAAAAATGTGTGCCCCCCTTTCTTGTTTACTCATGGACAGTAAGATTTGACATAAAGACATATATGTTACACATACATTATGAAGAAGAAAGTTGAATCAAGTTTGCTTTGTAACATTTTATAACTTACCTCTATTATTTATTCTCTAAAGAGTGCTTCATGGTTTTATTTGATTTCTCTGCAGGATCTAGTATAGTTCTAGATGCATAGAACTATTGTATAGGTACTCGTTAGGTTAAATACTGAGCCTTTGGTTAAAGCATTATTTGTCATTTCTGTTGAAGCAAGGAGATGAAAGAAGTATTACTTGTTTTACCCAGAGACAGTCTGGCTCAAAAAGTCTTACAGACAATTCTAAACAAGCAACAGTGAAGTCTAGTCAGGCTTCAGAATGATTGAAAAATCTGACATGAGAAAAAAATAACTGAAGGAAGGAGGTCAGAGTCCTGCTGGGATGTGTGGTGGTAGAGATAGCACTTTCCACCCAGCACAGCTGCTGATGTGCTTTATTTAGCAAGGTATGGCCTGAAAACTCTTTTCCCTCCTTAGGAATTAAAGAAGGAGGTCATGGAGCACAGGCTGGTGTTGGACACAGTGAATGAGGTGAGCCGTGCTCTCTTAGAGCTGGTGCCCTGGAGAGCCAGAGAAGGGCTGGATAAACTTGTGTCCGATGCTAACGAGCAGTACAAACTAGTCAGTGACACTATTGGACAAAGGGTGGATGAAATTGATGCTGCTATTCAGAGATCACAACAGGTAATGTTTATAATACCTCTGCATTAATATTTTAGACAGTATTGATGTGTGAGATACAGTACTATGACCCACATAAATACAGACTCAGAAATAAGAATGAGCTCAAGCTAAATCTGATGGAATAAATATGTTTCATTGATGGGAAATGATTGGGTAGAAGTTTATGAAGATGGATCCAGGATTTGACCAAAATACTTGACCCCTTTGAGTAGAGAAGTACTTGGAGAAGAGTCTACATGAGGCCTTTTCTTAGCTAATGCCCTGCTAAGAAGGCTGATGGTGATGGGAGTAGATAATATCTAGATTGAAAAGGTCCAAATGCATCACAGTCTTAGTTTGACATGATTAGCTCTCTTAGCATTAGATGGAAGAGGGGACGGAATCAAGAACTATAATTACTATCAAATATGCAAACCAAAATAGCAGAACTATCTAAAATAGAACCTTCTCAGTAAACACAGGTGTCATATTTCCCATGATCTTTTTTCCTTCCTGCTTTCTGGAAAAAAATCATTTGTTCTTTTGTGTAGCTGGATACATACCACTTAATGTGCCGCAGTACAAAAAATAAGTTAATATAACTCCTTAGGATCATAGTGATGAACGTATGCTTTTTGAACCACACAGAAATTTGCTCTGAGTCCAGGTGTATCCCCAGTGTGTCTTTAGAGTTATCCCTAATCTTGGCCAGGTATTTCAATATGAAATTTATTGTGCTTGGGAGAAGCATATTTTAAATATCAATGTATATTGGCCAAGTTGAAGAGGAAGAGATAAAAGACTGGGGAGGTCAGGCATAGGAGACGGGGCTCACACCTGTAGTCCCAGCACTTTGGGAGGCTAAGGCAGGAGAATCCCTTGAGGGCAAGAGTTCGAGACCAGCCTGGGCAACATAACAAGACACCATCTCTACAGAAATATTAAGAAATTAGCCAAGCATGGTGGCAATTGCCTATGTAGTCCTAGCTATTAGAGAGGCTGAGGTGGGAGGATCACTTGAGCCTAGGAGTTAGAGGCTACAGTGAGCTATGATCGTGCTACTGCACTCCAGCCTGAGCAACAGAATCAGACCCTGTCTCTTGAGGGGGCAAGGAAGGGGGGAAGATTGGGGAGCCTTCATGAAACAACAGTCACGTAGAACATGTTCTTTGTTTTCATTATTACATAACCATTTAAAAATGGGGTTGTTCTTCTGGGGTTTTGTGCTACTTCAGCTGAGCGGGCACTTCCAAGTTAGCTTGACTCAGCTGTCTACTGCCATATTAGGTTTATATTTAAACATCTGACTAAACCTACTGTTCCATGTCTGGGTAGGAAAGAGCAATGGCAGGAAGAGTATAGTCTCATAAAAACACTGATTAGAAGCATATTTCTTTTGAAGGGGATTGATATCTGTTACTTCTAGCTGTAGAAACTGAGTTCTGTAACTTATTTTAAAGAAATTGAAATATGGTCAGTTCTAACTTGTTTGCATCTTGAATTGTGATTTTATGAAATTCTTCCCAGTTTTGACTCTACTTTGTGAGATATAAACTATATTACTGAAAATCCAGGCCCTGCTGTGTTGAATAAATTACAGTTCTGAGGAGACTTGGCTGTATATAATTTGTTTATTTTTCTTTAATACGTCTATTAGTATGAGCAAGCTGCCGATGCAGAACTAGCTTGGGTTGCTGAAACAAAACGGAAACTGATGGCTCTGGGTCCAATTCGCCTGGAACAGGACCAGACCACAGCTCAGCTTCAGGTACAGAAGGTATGTGCCCACTCTTTCCTGAGCTAACAGAATCATCAGTAACTTAGAGTGACAAGGAGAGTTTCGGACTATCCCATGTCAAGTGGAATAATTTAATGGCAGGATGGTAAATAGAAATTAATTTTCTATGTACTTGGTTGAGACGAGGAAGAATTTTCTTTTTTTTTTTTTTGCTTTGTAAGAAAGGAAAAATAGGCCCATTAATCCATAATTAGCAATTTCCTTGGTGATTTTTAGGAGAGTAGAAATTTTTGTAAGCTAGTAAAAAGATAAGCTAAAGAAGATGTTGGATAGGCAAAGTGTCAAACTGTATAAGAACAATTTTTAATGTGGCTTTTTCATGGATTTTGTCTTAACCTTCAGTAACACAGGAAAAGGGTCTTTTTACTTCTTGACTTAACTACATTTTACTTTTCAAAGGCTTTCTCCATTGACATTATTCGACACAAAGATTCAATGGATGAACTCTTCAGTCACCGTAGTGAAATCTTTGGCACATGTGGGGAGGAGCAGAAAACTGTATTACAGGTGAATTACATTTATTTATTTGCCATATTGTTCCTGTCTTGATCATGGTGAATTAGAAGCACAATTGTGAAATGATGGTTTAAGGCTTTTTCCTTCCTGGACTTTTCTTACAATTGTTATTACAGTCCAGCTTTATCCTTCTAAAAGGTCATACCTAAGTTTTAAAAGGATTGGTCAAGATAGTTTGTTGGCAGGTTTTTTTGTTTTGTTTTGTTTTGTTTTATAAAGGATATATTTAACCACAGTTTCCTCAGAAATACTCATAAACTGACTGAGCTACTCATCCTAAACATTTGAAGCATAAATGGCAGGTTTCTGGAGACTTTTTTTTAATCAGAAGAAAAATGACAGGCAAAACTTGGATAGGCAAAGATTCCATCGTAGCCCCTTAGATGTTCAGTTTTAAACTGATCCTTTATAATAACACTATATTGGCCAGGCACGGTGGCTGATGCCTGTTATCCCAGCGTTTTGGGAGGCCAAGGTGGGTAGATTACCTGAGGTCAGCAGTTTGAGACCAGCCTGGCCAACATGGAGAAACCCTGTCTCTACTAAAAATACAAAAATTAGCTGGACCTGGCGGCAGGAACCTGTAATCCCAGCTACTCGGGAAGCTGAAGCAGGAGAATCCCTTGAACCCAGGAGGCGGAGGTTGCAGTGAGCCGAGATCACGCCACTGCACTCCAGCCTTGGTGACAAAGTGAGACGCTGTCTCAAAAACATATATAATAATAATAATGCTATATCTAAGGTTGTGTGTCATTACTGAAAGATTAAATTTGCTGTGTTTTTCTTACACTATTTTACTGCCTTTTAAACTTTTATCTTTTAAAAATTAGAAATAAAATATATGTATGATAGGAAAATTAGAAAATTTCAGGTAAGTATAAAGAAAATAAAAATCACTTCTAATCTTACTTTATTCATATTTTAAAATAATTTGTGTATTCTTTTAGACTTTTTAATGTATATGTACCTACTTTTTTTCTTAAGAGTTTATAATAGTAACACTTAAACTTTTTTTTTTTATTTACTCACATAGGAAAAGACAGAGTCTCTAATACAGCAATATGAAGCCATTAGCCTACTCAATTCAGAGCGTTATGCCCGCCTAGAGCGGGCCCAGGTCTTAGTAAACCAGTTTTGGGAAACTTACGAAGAGCTCAGCCCCTGGATTGAGGAAACTCGGGCACTAATAGCACAGTTACCCCCTCCAGCCATTGATCATGAGCAGCTCAGGCAGCAACAAGAGGAAATGAGGGTAAGGAGCATGCCAAATTTCATTTTATTGCTCTAAAATGGTCTCTATAATTTATTTAAAAACAACATTTCTTAGTGTCTATAGGTGCAAGTTCTGTGTTACGAAGTGAATTCTTAATCAGTTAGAATTCCTTTCATAATATATAATCTGAATTATTTCCTTTGTTGTTTAATATCAATTGATTAAACACTAAGATTATAGAGATATCGAGAACCTTGGAATGACAGAGCTAAAGAAACAACTCACTAAAAATCAATGGAATTTAAAATATTTCCGGGGATAGTAGCATGTTGTTACACTCAAGATGTGGTTGGATGGTACTTTCTACTTAGGCACCAACTGGAGTGAAAGCCATGAGGTAATGTCAGAAGGCATTTGCTCTGTATAGTTAATGACACTTTAAAATGTTTATTTCTGGTTTATGGCTTGTGCTTATTGCTATTCCTATAAGTGGAAGGATATAAACTGGACGTAGCCAACAGTAAAGTCAAGGAGTGGTTGGATTGCCAAAAATGTTGCTATTCATAGCTTATCCAGCTTGGTATCTCAGTCTGGGGAGGTAGACAATTATTAAACCATGTAGAGTAAAATAGAGTACATAGAAGTACTTATGATTACAGAAGAGTGTGGAGTAGACTTGTATGACACAGGTGGTAGGGGAAGAGAAGAGAGGATGTTTCCAGGAAGGCTGCTAGGGTGATGAGACATCAGAACTGACTTTTAAAAATTAAGAGAATTGGGTAGAGTCAGAACCTAAGATTTAGGTGTTTTTCTGTTCCTGCACAAATGGTGAGATGCTGGGCCTTGCTGGTTTTTAACAATTTTGTTTGTTCCTCTTAAAGTTGATATTAGCTCTGAACAAAGTAAGTGAACTGGTATAAAAGTATTCATTATGGTTTAATTATTTTTTTACCTAGCAATTAAGGGAATCTATTGCTGAACACAAACCTCATATTGACAAACTACTAAAGATAGGCCCACAACTAAAGGAATTAAACCCCAAGGAAGGGGAAATGGTGGAAGAAAAATACCAGAAAGCAGAAAACATGTATGCCCAAATAAAGGAGGAGGTGCGCCAGCGAGCCCTGGCTCTGGATGAGGCTGTGTCCCAGTCCGCACAGGTATGTGTGTGTCTGACACTCATAACCTTCAACTGTCTGCTGTTCTAAACAAGAGGTCTCTGTATCAGGTATGCCTCTGTGCTCAGCAGTGTCCAGACCAGCATGTTAATACTTGATTGGTATATAGAACAGAAAGCTTAGCCTATCTGCATTTTTATTCCAAGGAACATTGGCGTACTGACATTCTGAGGAGAGTGAAATGCATCTTGGCTGGTATATATTGTCTGTTGATGGTTTCTCTGAAAACTTTATGTTGTGATGATCCTTTAGCACATGATTTTGAATAAATCTACCTTGCAGATTCAAAAGCTGTGACTGCCTCAAAAAAGTGTTTGTTGAACCTGTTACTTTTTAGCTTTAGAGCAACAGCACATTAGTTTTCTTAAGCAACCAGCTAACTCATATTTAAGATGCTTGAGTAGGGAGTAGTAAGAGCCAAAGAGAAGCATAAACCAGCAGAGGGGTTTAAAGCATGTAACTACATACTTTCAACTAATATATTACTCTTAGTGGTACTGTTGTCATGTCTGGGTATTTTATTCCTATGTTTAGTCAATATTCTTGGTTAATATTTGTACTTACTCAAGTTTCTCCCCCCACCTTCCGTCCCATCTCTCACTCACATTGTGGAATGTGTTACTTTGTGTTGTTGCTGCCTGCTCCTGTCTTCCCCACATCGTCACATTTCATTGTTGTGTTGACCGCGCCCACCATTACAGATTACAGAGGTAAGGTACCCATCCCCATTGGGACTAGGGTGTTCTTATAATGCTGAAAATTGAGGTCATTACCTATAAGGGAATTTCCCTTAACTTTAGTGGAATAAATTTAATTAGTGCAGTTTATTATGTCAGTTTCATCTGGGGTGGAACCTAGACGTGAGAGAGTGATGGGAAGTGATTTTGTTAAAAGGAGTCCCACCATGTTTTTTCTATAGGACACTTGAAATTGATAAGCCTTTCTCTAACTAAAACCAGAGTTGGTTTGAGATAGATTTTTCTTAGGAGGCAAGCTTATCTGTTTTGCTCTCTTTTCTCCCCTCTCTGCATCAAATTTTAATGAGAACTTTTCAGTTGTAGTCATGTTCTTCAAAGTACCAGAAAACTGGGACAGTAATAATTCTTTAAGAACAAGGTTAGATTTGGTCTTCCTTAATTACCTTAAATTATTCCAACATTTTTTCCTCTTACTGTTCGATAAGGTGGGTCATTAAATTGCATGCCATGATACTTTTAAACTACAAGTCGTGTAGCATATTAAGTTCCCCATCCATTTACACAGCTGGTGGAGGGCATCTAACTTGTTGGTCTAGTCTGTTGCATGCAACTGTCATCCCGGATGTTGACATACTGACTCTCAGCAGTTTCATAGTCTTGTCCCTTTTTTGTTACATGAGTTGGAATAGGAGAAATATTGTGGCAGCACTAAAGATTTGAATTGGTTTCTATTATATTCATATATTTAGAGTCTTAAAATAAATATTGGCTTTTTTTTCTTTTTTTTTTTTTTCCTAATGGGCCAGTTCTGGTGTACTATGCCCAAAACAGTTTTGGAGTTTTTTTGTGTGTTTTTTTGTTTTGTTTTGTTTTGTTTTGTTTGAGACAGAGTCTTACTCTGTCACCCAGGCTGGAGTGCAGTGGCACAATCTCAGCTCACTGCAACCTCTGCCCCCCAGGTTCAAGTGATTCGTGCCTCAGCCTCCCTAGTAGCTGGGACTACAGGCGCACACCACCAAGGCCGGCTAATTTTTTGATTTTTAGTAGGGATAGAGTTTCACCATGTTGGCCAGGCTGGTCTCGAACTCCTGACCTCAGGTGATCCACACACCTCAGCCTCCCAAGGTGCTGGGAGTGAGCCACACAGGTGTGAGCCACTGCCCCTCACACACACAGGTGTGAGCCACTGCCCCTGGCCCAAAACAGTTTCTTAACCAAACTCAACACTTAACAGCCATTGGGCTAGACTGAGCACAGGTTATCCTAAACAGTACTAGGACAATATCTTGTCCTTATTCCTTAACATTTCCCCAAGAAGAGTGATGAGGTATGCTGTGATGGTAATGTTCCAACATTTGTTTAGTTTCATGATAAAATTGAGCCTATGTTGGAGACACTGGAGAATCTTTCCTCTCGCCTACGTATGCCACCACTGATCCCTGCTGAAGTAGACAAGATCAGAGAGTGCATCAGTGACAATAAGAGTGCCACCGTGGAGCTAGAAAAACTGCAGCCATCCTTTGAGGCCTTGAAGCGCCGTGGAGAGGAGCTCATTGGACGATCTCAGGGAGCAGACAAGGATCTGGCTGCAAAAGGTGCTTGATGACTGTCATTATTTTTAAAAATCAACAGAATAAATTCTAGGCTGTGGTTATTTTCAGCATCCCACCAGATTTATTTCTTTCTTTGAATGTAAAGGCAGTCCCCAGTAATGAGTATTCCAGAAAGTCATTGGAAAATCATTTGGAATTCAGAACACATTTCCCCATTGAAACAAGGTTACAATTGGTAGTTAGATTCCCAGGCCAGGAAACAAAAGCTCCTTTAACCCCTAACGTGAGTAAACTACGGTATCAGTAGTGGGTAGAACATAGCTACCTTTTGTAACACTTTCCATGGGAAACATACAAGTTTAACACAGAACACTGGAAACAGAGTTCTCATCTCAGCCCTTTTGTAAGTTAGGGGTTTTGTATCCTAGCACTACCTTTATAGTAGGTGATAGCTCATTTCTGGATTACTTCTATAATCCCTTTATGTGGGAGACCAATGTAAGAGGAAAACGCTAGTGTAGAAATAGGCCAGGGCCACCCGCAGTGGCTCATGCCTGTAACCCCAGCACTTTGGGAGGCTGAGGTGTGCAAATCACTCAAGGCCAGGAGTTCGACACCAGCCTGGCCAACATAGCAAAATTTTGTAAAAATACAAAAATTGGCTGGGTGTGGTGGTGTGCGCCTGTAATCTCAACCATTCAGGAGGCTGAGGCGGAAGAATCACTTGAACCTGGGAGGCAGGTGAGCCAAGATCACGCCGCTGCACTCCAGCCTGGGTGACAGAGTGAAATTCCCTCTCTTTAAAAAAAAAAAAAGAAAGAAAGAAATAATAGGCCAGGTGCGGTGGCTCATGCTGATAATCCAAGCACTTTGGGAGGGCAAAGCGGGTGGATCACCTGAGGTCAGGAATTTGAGACCAGCCTGGCCAACATGGTGAAACCCCGACTCTACTAAAAATATAAAAATTAGCCGGGCATGGTGGCGCATGCCTGTAATCCTGGCTACTTGGGAGGCTGAGGCAGGAGAATCTCTGGAACCCGGAGGCAGAGGTTGCAGTGAGCCGAGATTGCACCACTGCACTCCAGTCTGGGTGACAAGAGCGAGACTCCGTCTCAAAAAAGAAAAGAAGAAAAGAAAGAAAGAATAGTAAAACTAAAATAGAAAATTATCCTTTAGTTATAAATGCTTAGCATTTTTTTTTTAAAGATAGTTTCGTTGAAAAGGTCAGAGTTAGATGGAATTTCTGAAGAGACCAATTTCAGGCTCTTAGGGAAGTTCTATTCATATCTCTTTTTTTAACCTGCTCAGAAATCCAGGATAAATTGGATCAAATGGTATTCTTCTGGGAGGACATCAAAGCTCGGGCTGAAGAGCGAGAAATCAAATTTCTTGATGTCCTTGAATTAGCGGAGAAGTTCTGGTATGACATGGCAGCTCTCCTGACCACCATCAAAGACACCCAGGATATTGTCCATGACTTGGAAAGCCCAGGCATTGATCCTTCCATCATCAAACAACAGGTTGAAGCTGCTGAGGTAAGAAGGAAACAAAACCTTTTCTCTTAAGTGTCTGTCCTCTAGAAAAAGCGCTTCATCAAATCAAAGTGAGGTATGTTAATAGCTTAGCCAGGCTGAGTACCTTAAAGGTTTCTGTTTTTGTTTTTGTTTTTTGCTCTTGTCACCCAGGCTGGAATGCAATTGCATGATCTTGGCTCACTGCAACCTCCGCCTCCCGGGTTCAAGCGGTTCTCCTGTCTCAGCCTCTTGAGTAGCTGGGATTACAGGCATGCACCACTATGCCTGGCTAATTTTTGTATTTTTAGTAGAGATGGGCAGGGGGGGTTCCCCATATTGACCAGCTGGTTCCAAACTCTTGACCTCAGATGATCCACCCACCTCGGCCTCCCAAAGTGCTGGGATTACAGGTGTGAGCCAGTGCTCCAGGCCTAAAGTTTCTTTTTAAGTTGAGACATTCTCCAATTGAAAAAAACCTGCTCATTATATTACATTTCTTAAGTGTAGAAAAATAGGTGGTAGACAATAAAAATCGATTTTTGGACTCATTATCTAGAGATAACAGTTGTTACTTTGACATACTTTTTTCTAGTCTTTTGGTGCTTTTTTCTTTTTTTTCTTTTTTTTTATTTTTATTTTTTATTTTTATTTTTTTGAGACAGCCTCTCACTGCAACCCAGGCTGGATTGCAGTAGCACGATCTTGGCTCACTGCAACCTCCACCTCCCAGGCTCAAGCAATCCAACCATCTCAGCCTACCTAGTAGCTGGGACTACAGTCATATGCCACCACACCCGGCTATTTTTTTGGAGGCAGGAAGGGATGAACCTTTGGTAAATGATTGAAGCTCACTGTGCCTTTTCTATACTATTTTATATATACATATATCTATATGTAATACATATTTTGTGTATATGAAAAATAACCACTTAGAGTCTGAAGCTTTAGCATCCAGATAAGTGAAATTGACAGTTACATTGCACATCTGCTATTGATGGGGTATAAATCACATTTGCAAAGTTTGGTAAGTTCTGTTCTGTTTTCTGTTTTGGCTTATATTCTGTTCATTTACATGTAGACTATTAAGGAAGAGACAGATGGTCTGCATGAGGAGCTGGAGTTTATTCGGATCCTTGGAGCAGATTTGATTTTTGCCTGTGGAGAAACTGAGAAGCCTGAAGTGAGGAAGAGCATTGATGAGGTGTGGAGAAATGGATGAGGCATTCAGTTAGAACATTAGTGGGCTCAGACTGAAGAGTGATACTGATTGAAGAATGTGATTGAATGTTTTTCCCCTAGATGAATAATGCTTGGGAGAACTTAAACAAAACATGGAAAGAGAGGCTAGAAAAACTTGAGGATGCTATGCAAGCTGCTGTGCAGTATCAGGACACTCTTCAGGTGAGAGGCCAGTAGGTGACCACCAAGGAAATACAGGTTCTGTTTTTTGTCATTTTTATCATTTTCAGAATTCAGCACAAGAGTGGATCACCTTCACAGGACTGCAGACCTAAGATAGTGCTATTTCCACAAATCTAGCCAAAGTTCCCCACTTGTAGTGAAAAAAGTAGTGACATCTGTCTGAATTCTTACTCTTCCTGCCATTTTTATCATTCCCTGCTCATCATAGATTCATTCAACTATGTTGTGAAGCTGGTCTTACTGTGAAAGTCATTGCTTGCCAGAGGTTCCAAACCCAGGTTATCTTCAAGCACAGTTTGGCACAGTTACTTCAGAACACCATGAGCTTGCTAGCTGGGATTGAGAAATCTTAACTTTTATTCAAATTTAGTATTTCCAAATTGTACTTTATTTTGAACATTATTTTGATAATGTTGGCTCCATTATTAAATCACTGTATTATTAATAAAGATCATTATTCCTTATCTGTGCCCCTTACCTAAAATCACAAACAGCACAAGGTGCTTTGATTGATTTATGTCTTCTTATGTTAGCAGGGATAATGTTCATTCTCTCCCAAATACTTCTGGTTGTTTTTGACTGTTTACTTGTCTTTTGTTCTAGTCTATGTTTGACTGGCTAGATAACACTGTGATTAAACTCTGCACCATGCCCCCTGTTGGCACGGACCTCAATACTGTTAAAGATCAGTTAAATGAAATGAAGGTTTGTATCTGGGTATGGCTTTTGAAGAAGAGTTGTTTTATTTTAGTTTTTAAAGACTTGATTTGATGTTAACATTGAGTGTGTCTTTGGCAGGAGTTCAAAGTCGAAGTTTACCAGCAGCAAATTGAGATGGAGAAGCTTAATCACCAGGGTGAACTGATGTTAAAGAAAGCTACTGATGAGACAGACAGAGACATTATACGAGAACCACTGACAGAACTCAAACACCTCTGGGAGAACCTGGGTGAGAAAATTGCCCACCGACAGGTAAGGCAGGTGGTAGATGACATCAGTGAACTACTCTCTGCTCTTTTCTAATTTCCTAATGAATGTTCCCTTTCTGTCTTTTCCTGAGTAGCACAAACTAGAAGGTGCTCTGTTGGCCCTTGGTCAGTTCCAACATGCCTTAGAGGAACTAATGAGTTGGCTGACTCATACTGAAGAGTTGTTAGATGCTCAGAGACCAATAAGTGGAGACCCAAAAGTCATTGAAGTTGAGCTCGCAAAACACCATGTAAGTATTTTCATTTCTTCATCTCTAACCCCATTGAGACCAGATATTGCCACCAGAAGCATTCGAATGTTGTGTATACCTTAGAGAACCAAGTTAGATGATATCCATGGAGATAAATTATGTTGTTCAACATTTTTTAGGTCCTAAAAAATGATGTTTTGGCTCATCAAGCCACAGTGGAAACAGTCAACAAAGCTGGCAATGAGCTTCTTGAATCCAGTGCTGGAGATGATGCCAGCAGCTTAAGGAGCCGTTTGGAAACCATGAACCAATGCTGGGAGTCAGTGTTACAGAAAACAGAGGAGAGGGAGCAGCAGCTTCAGTCAACTCTGCAGCAGGTACATGTGACATCCAAGTGAGGTAGGAAGAGCTATACAGATAACAGAAAGCCTGTCTAAGAGAGAGGAGATCAATTTGAAAAGCAAAGAACCCCTTATGTCTTGAGGGGAAGGTTCATACTGTGCTGTAATTTATCTGGAAAGAGCAGCTTTTGATTGGGTAGTTCTTTTTTGAATTCGTTTGTAGCTCAGTCTTTTTATTCACTATTCAAAGTTAGTAGATCTTCACTTGTATGATTCCCTTTTTGTGTTGGATCAAGTCAGGTCTCTCCCTGTTCAAGAGTACCTTAATCATATAGTCAATTCACCTGATTGTGTCAGGCATTTATAATATGTTATAGTGAGGTCTAAAGGGTTCTGCTAGATTCTAACAATAATATTGGCCCCATGCTAATCTGGCAACAGAACAGCTTTGCCAGAGAGCAGCCCAGAATTCCTCCCTCAAGATAAATTCCTCATATCATTTGGAAAGTTTACTTTTGAAGCTGAGAATTGATTACTGATGTGGTTGACATATTTTTTTCTGTATCTTTTTCTCAAAAGGCCCAGGGCTTCCACAGTGAAATTGAAGATTTCCTCTTGGAACTTACTAGAATGGAGAGCCAGCTTTCTGCATCTAAGCCCACAGGAGGACTTCCTGAAACTGCTAGGGAACAGCTTGATACACATATGGTAATAGCAGTTTTTTTAAATTGAGTATAAGCATCCCATATTCAATAGCTCCCTTCCAAGTTCATAGTGATGTATTAATATGTATCTGGAAATCTACAAAGTAGTGCATTTTTACCAAAAATACAGTATAACCTTTGGGGATTGCTGCCTGTTACAGGCTTCTAATACCTTACAGTAGGCAGCAGTAGTGACAGGCAAGGGTCAGCTGGAAATTTTGAGTTAATCGGCTTTATTGGCACACATATATTGACTTGAAGATGACAGCATCAAGAAGAAAAATATATAACACAGATGTGTTTGTACTTAAGAAGGAAACTACTTAATGGAAGTTTATGGAAATCAAATAGTTACTAACAGCATTTCAAGAATGCATGCTAGAACCAAAAGCAACATAATTTCTAGGCAAATTTTTCATGAAAAGTGGAAATAGATTATTGGAGTCTTTTGAGGGATCTCTAATCCTTAAAAAATGTTTTTCTTCTATGGGTGATAAAATTATTTTAATATTTTAATTTGTCACTTGTTATTTTATTTAGTAAAATATGTTAATATTTACATTTTAATACAAATGAATTCTAAGTAATTAGTATTTCCTTATTACAGCTACTTTTATTATTAAGTATGGTGGGTCTCATTCCCTTATAGCTCAGCACTTGCACTGATTCCAAAAGAATGGCTTTTAATCAAGATGATCTCTTCCTGGACTTTCCCAGACTCTGCTACAGAATCTATATGTAGGTGTCTTCCAGAGAATGGGTGTAATTGATATCTTTCCTGCCTTTTCTTGTAGGAACTCTATTCCCAGCTGAAAGCCAGGGAAGAGACTTATAATCAACTACTTGACAAGGGCAGACTCATGCTTCTAAGCCGTGACGACTCTGGGTCTGGCTCCAAGACAGAACAGAGTGTAGCACTTTTGGAGCAGAAGTGGCATGCGGTCAGCAGTAAGATGGAAGAAAGAAAGGTACAGTGTATGATCCCCATGTTTGAGTAATTTACTGACTGATTGCATGTATAATAATTGCCATCTTATTTATATGAAGATTTTTTGAAGACCAGGGTATTGTAACAGAAGTTGCAGAACTGATTCTGTCCGTGTTGAGTCGCACTGATGTTATAAGTTTCTGTTGTTGTTTGCTTATATAATTATTCATTCCTTACCTGTTAAGACATTACTGCCATTGTTGCTCCATGGTGGGTTTTATGTCCTATATTAATCATCAATTTGTGTTCTACTTAAAAACAAGATTTTGCTGGAGTTGGTGTCTTGGAGTTGAGAGATTGGGGACAGGGCATGTAGGGACGATGACTAATAATTCTCCACAAGGAATTTGGTTCCTAATGTAAATGCAGTATGCAAGGAAATTTACTAGAAATCAGGAGAGAAGTAAATTATATGACCTCTTCCTACTCATCCTCAAAGATCAAATTCTCTTCTCTACAAAATAATGAAAGATGATTAGGGATGAAGGTGTTTGCCCAAAAAGATTATTTTTTATGAGTACAGAGTTTCACTGTATTTTTTGCTGGTCAGATCAAGTATGCAATATATACATAAACCTGTTGACCACATTCACTCAATGAATAGTTATTGAGCAAGTGTGTGCCAAGCCCCGTGCCTGATTTATGGTGGAAACACTAAAGATGACCCTATCATTGGGAAATTAATGAACAGAAGGACATAAAACACATGAATATCTTGAGAGAAGCATTAATTTCCTAAAAGCCTTCTAGCATGGGATTGGGTAATTTGGTTATATAAAGAATGGCTAAAGGACCTAAGTGTATGCTAATTCTTGGACAGGGCCAGACCTGGGGGCTCGCACCTGTAATTCCAGCACTTGGGAGGCTGATGCAGGAGGATTGCTTAACACCAGGAGTTTGAGACCAGTCTGGGCAATATAGCAAGACCCCATCTCTACAAAAATACCTAAAAATTAGCCAGGTGTGATGGCACACGCCTGTAGTCCTAGCTACTTGGGAGGCTGAAGTAGGAGGCTCACCTGATCCTGGAGGGTTGAGGCTGCAGTGAGAGGTGATGGTGCCACTGCATTCTAGCTTGGGTGACATCAAGAACCTGTCTCCAAAAAAAAAAAAACACAACTAATCCTTGGACAGGCTGTCATCCATAGATCCTGCAGAAGGCAAAGCTAAGATTAAATAAACTGAGACAGATTCTAGCTCATAAACAAGAAATTTTCAGAGAGTTTTCTTAATAGTTGAGCAAAATACCTTAAGACATAGTTGCCCATCATCAGAAATGGTCAGGCAAAAACTGAGTGTCAAGGATAGTTTATTATCTTGCAGGAACATTACCTTCAGGATCAGTAAAATCATTTATTAAATGTGTGTGGTGCTGTATTAAGAAAATACAAAGAATATGTAGATATAAAGAATATAAAGATATAAATTAGATATAAAAGTATATCTTTTATATCTATAAAGTAGATATAAAAAATATAAAGAATATGTAGATAAAATGATGTGGAAAGAATTCCTATCTAGGAAGTTGTAATATATTAATTTCTAAACATTCCTCTGTATATTTGAAGTGGATTTCATTTTTCCACCTGATTTGTTTAGATTGGGTTTGTACATTTTTATAACATTTATTGTAATAGCTTCTTTTTTGGGTGGCAGTGGGGGAGTTACAAAAATAACCTGAAAACGCAAAAAGGAAAATAGAAATTATAACCCAGTCAGGTAGAATTAACAAGTTAACATTTTTAGTGTACATCTTGGAGTTTTTTCTGTGAATATTTTGGAAATACTCATTTTTGCCAGCCCATCATTTTTACTTTGCCTGCCTAGTAGGTCGGCCAGAGGCAGAAGTCATTACCAAAAGGTTAGTGTAGGTCTCTGAGGATGGAGTTTATGAACTCTGTGGGATTGAAGTGTACTTGTGAGGAGCAGCCTTTTCCCTGAATGAGCTGTTGTTGTTGCCGTTCTTAGGTAAATGAAAGTGTCTGAAAATCTACATCTAGTGTTGTCAGATTTTTGCCTAGAATGTCTTGACTTCTTTCATTACCTCTTCTTCTTATAGCATAAGCATAATTTTTAGACTCATATTTTCATATGCCATATTTTCTGAAAACATGTATTTAAACAAAGAGTACTACATTGAACATCATCTTTGTAGTAAATTGCTTTTCATTTAGCCATTTTTATACCACAAAAAGTATATTAAAGGAAACTGAAACATTACCCAAAGCAGGTTGCAGATCCTACAGCTGTCACCACTGAAGGGTCTGTTCACTTACGGTTATTGAATAGTCTTAATCCCGTTCAAGGAAATGGAGAGTAGCAGAGAAAGGAACTTAGCTGCTTATTGTGCTCTATTTCCTTTTCCATGTACACAGTTCTTGCCCACTTGTTTCAGACAATAACATTAAAATGTCCCCTTCTTTACAAATAAAGCATGTTTGAAGGTCGATTAAATGAGGCTTCCTTTTTAGAGGTCATTTCATTTGGTGTACAATTCATGCCTTTGTTGCTGAAGCTATAATTCCTGAAATTGGCACTTTTTCTTTGTGTGTGTGTGTTTTACTTGAAATTCAGTCAAAGCTGGAAGAGGCCCTCAACTTGGCAACAGAATTCCAGAATTCCCTACAAGAATTTATCAACTGGCTCACTCTAGCAGAGCAGAGTTTAAACATCGCTTCTCCACCAAGCCTGATTCTAAATACTGTCCTTTCCCAGATAGAAGAGCACAAGGTAACTATGATATTACGATGCTGCCTTCTTTTTGAAAGCACTAATTGAAAGAAATGCCCCTTTATCTTATCTTAAGCTTAAAAAGAGCACTGTTGTTCCTTCAGGTTTTTGCTAATGAAGTAAATGCTCATCGAGACCAGATCATTGAGCTGGATCAAACTGGGAATCAATTAAAGTTCCTTAGCCAAAAACAGGATGTTGTTCTGATCAAGAATTTGTTGGTTAGCGTGCAGTCTCGATGGGAGAAGGTTGTCCAGCGATCTATTGAAAGAGGGCGATCGCTAGATGATGCCAGGAAGCGGGCAAAACAAGTAAGTTGGGGAGGAGAGATACTAATTCACTGAAGAATCTTGGGCTGCATGTATTGAGTCTCTGGGATGATTCTCAAATGTGCTGTATAGTGTGTATATTCATTCCTGTTAACTTACTTCTTATGTAATTTTAGTTCCATGAAGCTTGGAAAAAACTGATTGACTGGCTAGAAGATGCCGAGAGTCACCTGGACTCAGAACTAGAGATATCCAATGACCCAGACAAAATTAAACTTCAGCTTTCTAAGCATAAGGTAAAGCAGTTAATTGGTCTTAGGTCCCAAGAATACTATTCACTAAAGCTTGTAGCTTGCCAAAAATACAAATCAGAGCTAGTAGAAAGAAAACCAATCGGTTATGTTTAAAAGTCAAAATGATGAAGCCAGGATTCCATTTTATATCTAGATAATCTAATCATGATATTTGCTCATTTAAATAACAGTTTAAGCAAAGTAGATATGGGAGTAACTAGTTAAAACTGTAGGCTTTCACAAATTGTCAGGCACTTCTGTGTATGGTATAAACAAAAAATTATGAATTTCTTAAGGATAAGCTATGGTTAATTTTAGTCCAAAAAAACTGGTGACTTTCATACTTTATTTGGTTTCTAGCCTGAAAACTCAAATTATTTTGTTCCAAATCAAGATGTCATCTGACTTTTAACACTTTTTTGTTTTCTTTCTGGAAACATAGGAGTTTCAGAAAACTCTTGGTGGCAAGCAGCCTGTGTATGATACCACAATTAGAACTGGCAGAGCACTGAAAGAAAAGACTTTGCTTCCCGAAGATACTCAGAAACTTGACAATTTCCTAGGAGAAGTCAGAGACAAATGGGATACTGTTTGTGGCAAGTCTGTGGAGCGGTGAGCATGAATGTCCCCTTCAGGGGTCTAACCGGGATCCCAAAAGCAAGAGGCTCTTACCAGATTCTATAAAATGGTGATAAAGCTAATGCATCAGTAAGAGGTTTTGTACCATCTTAACACCACCAGTTAGTTCAAAGACTGTTATAATTTAAATAAAATGTATAAAAATTCTCATTTTAAACTTGAACTTTACTGTATTAGAAAGAGACCTATAAAATCAAAGCAACAATAATAGAAGATCAGTAACTCAAAAGTATTTGTAAATCGTCAATTTGTAATACCAACAGCTGTCTTATTGACTGCTCTGGGACACTCCAAAGCCTCTACATGCATTACCTCATTTTACCATAATGATACCTGACCTTTGCTGGGCAATTACTACTGAATATATACCAAACAGTGGCTAATAATAATTTAATCCTCATAACCACTGAGGTGGGTACCACTTTTATTGCCATTTTACAGATGAGAAAATGACCATAAAGAGGTTCTTAACTCCCCTAAGGTCACTCAGCTACCATATTGGCAAAGCTGAGGTTTAAACCGTGGCAGTTTGGTTCTAAAAGTTGTACTTTTATCTATTCGTACCCACTATGCCATGCTAAATATTACAATATCGCTACCCTATTTGTACTTTTTTTTCTTTTTTTTTTTTGAGAAGGAGTCTTGCTGTGTCTCCCAGGCTAGAGTGCAGTGGCGCGATCTCGGCTCACTGCAAGCTCCGCCTCCTGGGTTCACACCATTCTCCTGCCTCAGCCTCCTGAGTAGCTGGGACTACA